AATTTCTAGTTTTAGTTTTTTTGAGGGATCTATATACTGATTTCTCTAAGCTGGTTGTACTGACTTACATTTTCACCAACAGTGTAGAAGGATTCCTTTTCCCCTACAGCTTCACCAGCAGTTGATTTCTTGATGATGTCCATTCTTCCTGAGGTAAGACAGAATTGCAGTGTTGCACTTATGTAATGCCAGTGATTGAACATTTCTTCATGTATTTATTGGCCATTTGTACTTCTTCTGTGCAATGTCTATTCATTTCACTTGCCCATTTTTGATTGGATCTTTTATTTGGGTGGTCTAATTCATTGAATTCTTAATATTCTAGATATTGTTTTTTTTTGTCTCAGGAATAGCTGGCAAGTTCTTTTTACTCCTGTAGTTCATATCTTCACTCTGTTGCTTGTTTCCTTGGCTGCACCAAAGCCTTTTAACTTTATGTGTTCCTATTTTTTGATTTATCATGTTTTTCTTGCGTAATTGGGTTCTGTTCAGAAATCCTTGCCTATGCTTATGTCCTTAAGAATTTTCCCGATTTTCTCCTCCAGCAGGTTAAACATTTCTGTTTTAACTTTTAAAACTTTGGTCCATTTTGATTTTAGTTTAGTACATTGTGAGAGATATGGGTCTAGATTCCATCTTGTGAGTGTAGATAATCAGTATTCACAACATTTATTAAAGTGACTGTCTTTCCTTTAGTGCATGTTTTGATCTCTTTGTTAAGATCAAAATTTGAATGTGCTTGTGGTTGTTTTTACAAATTGTATTCTGTTCCATTGATCCTCATGTCTGTGTTTGTATCATGCTGTTTTTATCAGGGTAGTCTTGTAATAAAACTTCAAGTCCATGATTATGATACATCTAGTTTTGCTCTTGTTACCCAGGATTGCTTTTTCTGTCATCTGAATTTTAGGATTGTTTAATTCATTCTTCAAAGAATGCTATTGGTGATAGTTAACATAGTCAGACTACTGTCTTCTATTTCTTTGCTGAAAGAAACAGTTAATGATTCCTTGACTGATCAATATTGCATGTCTCTATTTGTTTTCCTGAGAAACCACTTTGAAGATACCAATATGTAATACAACAAGCATTGTTAATTTCCTACCACTTTGTTTATAACTCTGTACTGTTTGTATTGTTCTTTTGTTA